GTGTGTGTGTGTGTGTGTGTGTGTGTGTGTGTGTGTGTGTGTGTGTGTGTGTTGAATGTTGATCACAGTGTTTGTCTGAGAACTTGGTTACCACAGCACCTAACCCCTCCTCGCACTGGTATTTACTACCCCAACCCCCATATCTGCTCTTGTGTGTTTGCCATTGCAGCGTCTTGTTCACAACCTCCCCACTTCTTCCTATTTTACCCTTGGGGAGGAACACAGAACAAGGGTGAGAAGGTTGCCCAGTTCCCACCTTTGGGCTCTCACAATCCCACAGAAACACACACTCTTAGCATATGCACAGTGTCTCGCTCTATTGTCTGATTTGCATGTGAGCCCAAGTAATTCATTAATGCACAGACATACTGTGGAATTGTTGAGGTCGCTAAGATGGGGAGCCCCAAAACTCTGCTGTTATTGTGTTGAAGGTTTACTGGGTTTCTGGATCTGAGTCCTGCTTCTTGCTTCTTTAAGAACCAAAACACCAAGCACTTGAACCCTGCTGGACACCACTCAAAGCCCTTGAACACTACTCCTTCTCTCCATTTTGCCCACCTTAACCCCCCCCCTTTCCCCTTGCCACTTCTTGTAGGAGATCTCTGTACCCATCATTTTCTGAAACCATGTCCACACTAATGTAGATACCTTTAAAAACATTTCCGTTCCCTCCATTTGGGCCATTTGGAAACAACATTGACGAAGCTAAAAACTGAGGGAAAAGAATACATTTTGTTGTTTATTGTTTCATGATTATAACTTGGACTGGAAAGGTTTAGAGAAAAGTCTGACAATGCCAAGTATGTAAACTTTAAACTTGAGAGCTGTGATTTCAGTGTCTGTGTTAATAAATAAATAAAGGCCTGAATGTCGGTGAAAGCTTTAAAGGGCTTATTTAACACAGAATGCTAAAAGGAACGTTTAAACAATTTCAAACCAGTTTCTCCACTGTGATATTTCACACAGTTGCTCATACAGTGCTCTCATTCCCTGAGGAGCAATAGAACTGCATTGTTTATGCAACTGACACCAGCAGCATCGTGAAAGGCTTTTTTAAAAATGATGCCTCTATATAGTGCTCATAGACATTCTGCAGTTTTTAAGACTGGTTGTAAGGTAACACTTTCTTAAGTCTCTACCTGAGCTTGTCTTTTGTCTGTTCTGCCCCCTCTTGACATCCTCATGGTTACATGGATTTGTTTGCATAAAGCCACAAACTTCTGCGTTTCTATTTTGGAATATTCTTGAATTCTCAGGTGGGAGGAGAGTCCTTTATTGCCAGGTCACACTTTGCATGCGCAGGGGAACAGCTCCATGTGAGATTTGTTGAAAAGTCTTAGCACTGCCAAAGGCTGTGCATGGTCCTGTAGGGCAGCCTTAAAGGGTCCTCGAAGACTTGGAGTCCAGCCAGGACCAGGGGGCTGCCTGGCCAGTGTCAGACCCTCTCCTTTGTTCTCAAAGCTGGGACTGAGCGTCCCACAGAGTCTTGCTGGTTTGGCTGGTGGGTTCAGGATTTGACGTGACATCCTGCCCCTGGCTCCTGTCCCTGGTCCTTTGGCCCTCCCTTGCCCTCTCTCGCTCTCTGATGTTGAGCTGTAGAGAGCAGAAGGTGAAGCTGTTGGAGGCTAAATGAGACCAAAGGTCTTGGCCCTTCTGCCACTCTTCTTTTTTTCATGATGCCTCTCATGTGTTAAAGCTAACAGTCATCTAAATTGCCTGCCTCTAGTGACTTTAGTCAGACTCACAGAGACTTTCTGGATTAGAAAGCTGAATTCTCTGGCTTGATGATGTAAGCGTGAAATGGTATGCAGTGTATTTCCAGCTTATTTGGATGGATTGTGGTCAAATGTGAACACTGGAAGTGGACACGCAGTGTTTCCAAAGCATGCTGCAGCCTTCAGATATTGTTTGACTGCATACTCAGTAAAATTCTGCCATTTTACGCTAGGATTGTATCTGGATGCCACCATAATTTATAGATTTTTCCCAAGCACCTGTGTTGGGGGAGTTCAACTCTGCAGTAGGATTTGTGATATCTGTTAAAACCATAAACAAGTGCTTTGACCTGCGCACCAACTCACAGGTATTTCTTTCCCTATTTAGAATAGAACAGAATAGAATGCCTTTATTGTCACTATACACAAGTACAATGAGATTAAGAGCAGCTCCTTCAGTGCCATACATAATAAAGTACAAAATAAAGAGCAAAAAAATGAAAAATAGAAGAGATTTATTCTGTTGTCCTCCAATAACTGCACTGTTCAGCTTCAGCAGCTTGCAAAATGTACTGTTAACTTTCATTTTATACATTTCCACTTTTTTTATTTTAGCCAGAACAAAGAGCAGATCCATGCCACATTGTAGCGTTTTTCCATTTCTTCGCAGATGTATGCCCAGGCACTTGTCAGTGTAAGTTACTTTTAAGTTTTGAATAAGCAGACTTTGATGATAACAAATGAGGCGTTCACCCACTTGGCTTCACCAATCTAGTACCTGGTCTTAACATTTCGAGCACTGTTCAAGTGTGGCACACATGCGCACACACACACTTGCAGAATACACACACATAGAAAGAATACCCAGTTAGACCCTCTTGGTGAGGGAGTGAGAGAGTTACATGAAGTGGCTCTTAGCCTTGTTATTATTGTTCACAGTTAAAGAATGTCTCGCTCTGAGCCCAGGAAACCATTACATTTTCCACAGAGAAGAAGAAAGACGAAGTGAGTAAAATGAGTGAAAAGAGGAGGAAGAGGACAGATGGAGAAGAAAAAAAAGGAGTGACAAAATGTGTGCCAAATGAGAAAAGGAGGCAAGATAAAAAGGATTATTCGTTTCCTGGCGGTACTTCTCTGACTTTTAAAGAGCCCTTTCGCGGCAGCTGCACCTCCGTTCCCTTTCAACCCAACTCCTCCTCGCTCACAAACAACAAACACTGTCAGGGAGCCGGTCAGTT